AATTTTGAGAACTTTTCCTATAAATACGAATTTTAGAATGAAAAGTTGTGTATAGTATTATAGAGAAATCTCTATAGTTCATATTTTTTTATTCAAAACCATTATTTATTTGAATCATTGCTTTCTTTACCCTATTTCAATTTCCTTTTATTCTAACCAACGTTATTTTCAAAAATACCTTCTATATATGTTGAACCAAAGATATCCTATGACCTTCAAAGAAATGCTATAAATGGAAAATAAAAATTTTGATTATAAAAATTAATAGTAATGGCATATAAATCAGCATTTATATTAATTCTGTGATTTTATAATGTACCATAAAAGGCCTAATAACAAAACTGTATTCCAAAAGTCAAAATCACTTTTTCTGAAATTCCTCTTTTGCAGAATAAACCTAAACATATTCCAATGTCATGGCTTCTTGTGTTTATTAGTCAGTATTTTTAGATAAGTGGAAATTGAAATAGGGTAAAGAAAGCAATGATTCAAATAAATAATGGTTTTGAATAAAAAAATATGAACTATAGAGATTTCTCTATAATACTATACACAACTTTTCATTCTAAAATTCGTATTTATAGGAAAAGTTCTCAAAATTGGATTTCTCAGACTTGATGTTAAATAATAAGTTAAGCCAGTTACAAGATTAGTAATTGAATACCCCTGACAAACAAAGCTGAAATTGCCAACCTTATTTAGCAGGAAAGAAAGAAATATAGTACTCTCGACTTAATTGATCTTATTGATACTAAGAGTCTTTCCTTGTTATGAGTTCCTATTTTATTCAAAAGATATATCATCCCACTAAAACTCAACTCATTTAAAAAATCTTTTTCAAATTTATAAAGTTTCAGTGATTCAGGAAAACATGGAGAATAATATAATATACATCTATATGCCCACTACCCTAATTTAACAACTGTTAACATTTTGCCATACTTGCTTCAGATCTTTTATATATATATATATATAAAAGAAAAGTTGCAGATACAACTGAAGCCTCCTTTATTCCCTTCCCTGATCACAGTCTCCTCTCTCTCCAACTCTAGAGGCCATCATTTTTCTAAAGATGTATACCTTTTCTGTCCATGTTTTTATACTTTTACTACATATTTGTGTTTTCACAAACATTAATGGAGTTATGTTTTATATGTTTGAACAATTACATAAATTATTCCCATTTTATCATTTTGTAATTTCCAGTTTTTACTCAACATTGCTTTTGAAATATAAGTATACTGATATAAAAATATAGTTTATTTTAATTTTCCTACAGTGTTTCTAAAGACGTATTATTCTGCTACTAATGGATGCTTAAGATGTTTCTAACAAATGTGGCATGAACTTCCTCCTATATATATATATACTAATCCTTTCTATATTGCTTCCATAAAGACTGTTGTTTAAGCTGGTTAGCTGCATTTTTTTTTTTTCTAAACTAAGCAAGGCAATTGAAGAAAAAGCTAGAAAGCTATTTTCTAATCTAGAATCATCTGTGTCTTCCTACCTACCTTAGTTTCATCCCTTTGTTTTATTTCTTTGTTAAATGCTTGTGCTACAGAAAAAAGAATACTAAGAAATGTGCAACCTGAGCCTTTATTTTACTTGGAAATAGTTCTATTTAGGAACATCTAAGTCATATATTTGTACGGAATTTCTGTTTAGAAATTCCAGTGGTAGATCATTTCAGGAAAATAAAACGAGGAAAATGTGTTAAGTATCAGCTTCTGAATGTTGCTTTTTGCAGAAGCACTGTTAGGGGTTAAAAAGAATCTTGTCCACTTTCTCCCTGTGTCCTGCCCACCCAAATTGCGATAGAAGATTAACAAAATAATTTAGGAAGGCTGTGGAACCTGATTTGTCATTCCTTATTTCCTTTATGTAATGAATCTGACAGTACAGTCTACCTTTGGTTGTTTTTCTCTCAGTATTCCTGATTTCACTTTATCGTGTAGCTGATCAATGGTCAAATTATTCTTCCATGTTTCACCGTCTTCTAGCAGAGGAACACAGGCATAACTGTTATCTGCAAGACAAAAATCTCTTGGACATCAGTAGGAACCTTTTATTTTTGGTTCCATCTCAAAAAGCAGAAGCAATACAAACCAAAACCATAATTTTAAAAGTATCGATTTTAAGCTATAAGCTTTAAAACATTCTTTAGATAATAGTTGCTTTGACAAGTTGCCCATTTAGATTTTTTCCTTCCCACTAAACAAACAAAACCTCTATACTCCCAAAGTCATGGTAAGTAAAATATGTAGAATTTAGAAAACTAGAAATATGCCTGTTGCATCTTAATGTCAGTAACAATTAAGCTTTTATATAAGTTATATTTTCATGTATGCATTTCTTATTTAAGATAGTTATTTACATAAATACTCCATGCTTATTACAGGAAAATGGATACATGCCAAAAAACAATAAAAAATAAAAGCTACCAACAACTTTTATCACCTGTGAATCATTCCTGTTAATATTCTGGTTTATATTCTATCAGAGTTTTTCTTTTCTATACATATAAATTCACAAAAGAATCATTTTTTCCCCCTGCAGAAATGAAGTAACATTTTATATATTTTTCTATCTTACTCTGGTCACTTTGCTAAATATCATGAACATATTTCTTGTAAGTTAACATCTATTATCACCACTTCCTTTGCTACACAGCTGTTCATACAGATCACTGTAACTTAACTGTGGATATTTCTTTGTTTCTAGTTTTTCATTATTAGAAATTATACTGTGATGCACATCCTTGCATATATACCTTTGAGTACTTAAACAACTATTTTCTTAAGACTTAAATTATTGGTCCAAAAGGCAAAGACATTTTAAAAAGCTTTTGATTTTTATTGGTAAATTGCCTTCTTGAAAGTTTTATCAACTTAGAGTTTCACCATATAGCATATGTGAGAGTCCATTTTCCCATATCCCACAAGTGTTCATATATATAACATAATGTACAACTGCACACCATAGTTATTACTAATAATATCAGAACTATTGAGAAACGAAGAAATAAAATAGAAAAACTCAACTTCCACCTTTCTCTTCTCCAAGGGGTTCAAGAAATACATAAAAAATTAACATAAACATACCTCGACTGGAATTCACAAGAAGTAACTGTGATTTTAGCTCATCAATAATACTTTGTTGAAGTGACAGCTGTTTCTCTTGCTCACGTATTCTCTGCTCATAGTTCTCAGTCTGCTGACATAAAAACCAGTTAGCCTGATATTTACTGACAGACATGAACATACATTTATTGCCCATTAATAATGATAAATAAATATGAGTTGTCTATATTGCCATTTCCCAGGTATTGAGTATTTGTTTATGAAATACAAACTGGCTCCAGGAATATATTTGTAATTACTACAAACAGAAGTGATTTAAAACATTTAAAGCACTGTAAAATTTTTAAAAAATCATCTTATTTAAAGAAATTTCAGACAAGAGTTCAACATATGAGTTCTTGGTCTCTCAGTTAGGATAACAGTTGTAATTTAATTATTAATGATAACAAAGAAAAAAGAATGAATAATAAAACAGATGCTACAGTGAAGTTATTCTTTAAAAATAAAACTTAAAAAAATTAAGATTTCATGTCTTTCAAATAAACACACTTCTGAATTGATTTTTAGAGTACAAAAACACAGAGATATAACTAAGACATTATGAAAATCAGAGGGACAAACACAAATTATAAAATTATACTGACAAGAAACTTCTAAGTTTTAAGAAGTCAAGAGAACACCATGCTTAATCTTTAGTGTATTATTTTAAATACTGTAATTTCCTTTATTTTTAATCCACTTTTTCCATTTTATTGCAATAGTCATGAGAATTAAGTAATGAAAAAAGACACAAGTCTATATTAGTGAATAAAGATGCTGCAAATCTCCAAGCAATCTGAAAATGTCATATCACAATTATCAAATTAGTATAGTCTTAAAAATATATCACCAAAATATAATAGAGAATTCTTTACCAATATCTATCTCTGGAGGAACAAATGAAGAAACGACTAAACTGTAAATTCCTTGAAATATGAAATAGGGTCATAGTAATATCAGAAAGTCCTTCAGTAGATACTAGATATTTGATTTTAAATTGTCTCTTAATCAAAGCTCAAAATTAGTGAAGCGCTATTATTTTCAGAGTCTAATAAGCCTAAAGTCCTTCTTAAGTACACAGTTATTCCTTGATTCTCAAATATAACTGACCTTAACAAATTAAAGCAAAATACCACATTTTTTCCCAAATAAATGGTGAATTTTAATAAGCAATACACTTCAAACATGAATAATTGACAGAGTTGATAAGTAACCCAAGAGGTGTGCTGCCTTTGCACGCTGCCTGAGGGCAGTCTTACACAACCTGACATTCCCTGTAGAACTCAGTGAAGTAACATAGTCACAGATGTTCAGTATATGCTTATTGAAAAAAAATAAAGGAAATAAAGAATCCAAGTAGATTTTATTTTTATGAACAGAAGAATGAACCTTGTGAGTCTCTCTGGACCATAACGTCTAATAAATATGAGTGTCAGAACTGGTCATTAGATACACAAGTCTAGTCCAGGGCCAGGTTTCCTAGGTCAAGACATCTTATTCCTATATAAATTCGAATCCAAGAGCCCCAGAAAGAGTGGATAAGTTGACTGAAAGAAGGATCCAACCATCCATAGCAAATTCTTAATACTTTAGATTTATCTGGGCTACCCTGAGCTACCCAGGCTAAAGAATCAGCAAACATTTTACAGCCTTCTATGTTTACTTCTGTATATTTAGAATTTTCTACAGAGAATTCAAAGTTCTTTAAAAATAGCAATCAGTAATTACCTATTCTTTCACTATATTTTGATAAGCATATACATTCTACTGTCCAGATATTAAGTAAACAGTACAAAAATCTTAGCAAGTTGGAGATAGGCCCAGAATAAATGTCTAAGTTATTCAAGCCTCAGCCCATTCTTCATCTACCATGGTCCCCGCCCCTCCACCTTAATTAAGAAGACAAATGACCATATATTTTCTTTTAAAACAAACTCAGAAAATTTCTGCCAGTTAATTTTCATCTTCTGCTCTCTGGCTTAAGAACATACATTAGCATATCCACATATAACATATTACAATAAATGAATAATGCTGAAAATATATTCAATAGCTGGAAAAATTAATAGATCAATGGCTATTTCAAGCTGAAGTTTTGAACTATTTCTTAAACCACTTAATAAAGTATTATAAAGCTCAAATTCTGTAATAATTTTAAAAACTGATCCTCTGGAAGTACAGCAGGAGAAATAGAATAGCACTTGTCCACATTCTCCCACCACACTTTTCACATACTTAGATTACACCAGTTATAGAACTATAGCCTAATTTTCTATAAGTCTGATTGCCCTCTTGATTATGAACTCAAGGGCAGAGACTATTTCCTCCTGATATCTCCAGAATATCACAGAGTGCCTGACACACATTGAGATGCTCAGTAAATGTTAGTTGAATAAATAAACTAATAAAGTTGATAAAGAAATATCAGAAAAATAGACATGCCTTCAGAAGTAAACTGAAGGAATTAAGAAATGGCTTTGTCTATATTTCTGTAAGGGAAACAGAAAAACTGGAAACAAGGTCAGCAGGTGAATAAGACAAAGGGAAATTAAGGTTGGGAAAATGGATGCAAAAGATAGCAACATTTGAAGGTTTTTTTTGGAAAAAAAATGAAAGCTTATACTGTTAAAAAAAAAGGGTTGTGATTTGAGAAGAGAAAATACATATTTAGAAAAGAGTATAAAGAGTTTGATCACAGGCTATGGAGACAGAAAGTCCAGAAAAGGATTTTATATCAAGTTAAGAAATAACCAGTAGAATTTAGTTTATTTGCAATGTTTGGAAACTAAATGAACAAGTTTTTTTTCTTTTTATTAATTTTTTTTGTTCACTGAACAGATCTTAATGAATTTATAACCTGGAAAGTCCTTTTGAAAGGTCAGATAATTGTTGCATGGCCACAGGATTTTTCTTAAAAAAAAAAAAAAAAATACAATTACAAACCAAGTGCATTCCAGCACTATCAAAGACCCCACAAAACAGAAAAATCACTAACAACCACATTGAAAATGTACAACAGCAATGTCTTGTCAACACTTCTGTACAGAGCACAGACATGACAGCTAAAACAGACAGAAGAGAAGATGCTTTTGACAGCCAGTGTGTGTGAATGATTCTTTTGAGTCAGATGGCAGCAACAAGTTACCAACTAGGAGATCTGCATGACAACTAACCATCCATCTGTATCAAACACCATCTGGCCAAGATGACTCTGGCTTCTGTGTATTTGACACTCCTTCCAATACCAAAGACTAGCAAAACAAGTGATCTACCAGTATCTAAAGAGATAAACAGGTACTCAGATACTTGTGACATAAGGTACTTTGTATTCTTTCCCAATGTGCAAAAGCAAAACTTATACAATGGTGATCAAATATATACACATCTTCAATTTATTAAAAATGGTTGTCCATACATACTCTTGACTATCATAAATGAAGCAAAAAACTTATCTTAAGAATTGCCCTTTTATCCAGACAAAATTTCAAACCTTCTTCAAAACCAAGGCAGCACATTTCCTATAATTTTAGACATATAACTGTTCAAGTTTTCATGAATTTCATAAATATTAAAATAGAGCTCCATAAATTGAATGTTTTTCCTTTTACTGACAATGAACATTCTCTTATTTCCTACACATGGAAAAAAAAGGTCACGTGTCCTTAAGTCATCTATAATACTCTAAACAGTTCAAACATTATTTCTTCTCATCCTCAAGAACTAATCTCAACATTCTGAAAAATACCATTACTTTCCTCCAACAATTTATTAAGAAATTTAATAAATGTTGAATGGATTAAAGAAATAATCTCAATTTAAAAACATTTCAAACTGTTCCAAGACTAACAAAGAGAACAAAAGCTTTATTGAAGCCTTTGCTTGGCTACCACAAATGCTCTCAATAAGAAGCTCCACAGTTCAAGAAGAAAGAATTAAATATTAACTATCAACAAAGAGAACAAAAGCTTTATTGAAGCCTTTGCTTGGCTACCACAAATGCTCTCAATAAGGAGCTCCACAGTTCAAGAAGAAAGAATTAAATATTAACTATTCCAATACATAGCACTTTAGACACGAACTTATTGATTTAGACACAATCTAGTTAAAGTTCATTCTGAAATTCTGGTGAGCTAAGCATCAACCTCAGTTTTAAGTTTTAAAGAAAAAGTATGAGGTAATAGGACTAGCAATTCAGAGACCCTTGCTTACACAACTCTTTCTTCAACCATTCTCTGCCTACTAGGTTATAAGCCCCTCACACCCCCACCCTCCAGATACCAAAATTTATCTGGGAGATCTGTAGTTTGACAGATTAGATTACCAATCTAATTATCTACAACAAGGGTTGTAGATAATTAACTTCAAAAAGCTAATGGAAAAATAGAATCAAAAGATAATGTTAATCCATGAACTTTTTGAAGACCCCTCATATTAGGTAACAGTGCTGCAACCAATTTCTCAGCATGCCAAATGTTAAACTTTGACAAACTATTTTTATTTTACAATCCTGTATTTTGGTCCTGACTAGTTTACTTGCCTGTTTGAGACTTTGGTTTCTTTCTCTTTGAAATGAAAATAATATTTACCTGAAGGACTGAAGGAGACAGCATATGTATTTGTCCCACAATAAGCTCTTTGAAAATGTAGTTCCTTTCCTTTAATAATGAGCAAGGTATCTACATAAATATCTGCAGCCATGGAAGCAGATCACTGCAGTGTCCCCATCAGGGTAATGCCTAGTGGAGCCTTGGGGTCAGGGCCACTGCAGATTCCCCACTAGGGCAATGCCCAGCAGAACCATGGTGTTGGGGCCACCAGAGAGAGCCCCCACAAAGGCAATGCTTAGTGGAGTTATGGGGACAGGGCTGCCCACAAGATCCCAGACAGCCACCAGTATGCAATACCAGCCTGGGAGAGCCAAATGCATGTGACTCCAGCACATGAGAGCTGCAGGCAGCAAAGCCATGGTTGCTGGGTTGCCTGAAGCCTTCAGAGTCCAATTCCCACCCCAGTGTGTCCAAAAGACAGGACATGGAGTCAAAGATTATTCTTAAGCCTCAAGATTTAGTGTTTGTCCTGCTGGGTTTTGAA